AAAAAGGGTTTTGGTCAAATGAGGGTCTACGAAGTGGCAGTGGCTTCTTCCACGACACTTCTGTCGTTTTCCTGGTTTTGGGCGGCATATAATGCGGAAAGATGTGAAATTAAGATTGTAGGCTATGGAAATGATGATTTTGTCTGAGCCTGAGGCTTGAACTTAAGCTGCCTGAGCCCTTGGAAGGGGAGGAGCTTCTGGGCGGAAGAACCAGTGCGGAAAGGAAGTGCCTTTTCTGCGACATTTGGCTGGTGTCCAAGGAGGCAAAACAAGTCCACTAGGTGGTGGGTGGGCTCATATCGCTTGCCTCTATTTCTGCAAAAGACATTTTAAAAGCTCTTTCCGAGTGTGTGCAGTTGGAAAAGGTGCTAAGAAATGCTATTATCCGTGCTGCAGAGGCTAAAAAACCCATAGCTCGAAAACCATAGCCAACTAAATGTTTGCAGAGATTAGGAAGATTTTGGTTGTATTTTAGTGGGTATTCTTTGGATTCGGATTGCTCACATGTGGTTTCTTCTGCTGTTGCTGTGGCTGTTTATGCTGCTGCAAATGCTGCTGCAACTTCTGTTGTGGCAAGTACGTACCGAAAGTTCCAGAGGTGAGTCGTTAGAATTTTTCTCGGTAAAAATGACGTTAAATTTGCGCTAAAGTGCGCCTTAAGTTTTTACACCTTATATTTGCCAGAATTTTCGTGGATAAGTAAGTGCTCAGCAATCTGTGACAGTTTTGCTCGAAAAGTACTTTTGCGTCATAAACTAGTTTGGCGGACAGCAGTCTCGAAAACCTGGCAATTTCTCGCTATCGATATGTTTTGCGGTGTTGGAACCACTCAATGCGAATGTGTAATAAGGTCTTCAATGTGTAATAAGGTCCCGTGCTCACATACCGCGTTCATACTTTTCGACTAAGGAGATTCGGCGATTTGGTGAATATAGTGCGATATGGGAGATGTAGCGATTTGGGAGCCTGCGCGAGGAACGTGTATGTATTGATCTGACTGAGCTTTGATTGAGCGATCCGGCTATGAGAGACTCGGCAATCCACCACAAGGCAAAAATCTCAAATCTCCGAATCTCCGCAGTCGCTAGCGGTCGGCAGATCGATACCTATCCACTCCTTTAACGCGCAGTCGCCGGAACGCCAACTCTCCGGATCACAGAATCCTTTATCTTTTCTCTGGATCAATATCTATACTTCACTTGCACGCATTCTCTCAAATCGCCCATTCTCCTCAGTCGCAAAGTATGAACTCGCTTAAGGGGATATTCCCTCGGGGAAAGTCTTTCTTTTTTTCAGCAGGAGTTCAGTTGAGACTACAGAATTTATAAGAATAAAGAAAGAACAAGAAAGGAATAGTAATTATCAAGAACTGTTCAGGACTTCGATCCAGCAGATATGGAGGATTCAGATGATAGTGAAAGAGGACCTACAACTGCATCACCTAAGAGCGGTGATGACGTAATCACTTCACAACCAACAGGTGAACCTAGGAAATCAGCAACTCCTTCACCGAAAGGACCACATGGCGAGGAACCTAGTCGGGTGAGTTCTTCTCACATTTGAAAGGTTCCTTTTTATGAAAAACAATGT